GGTCAGGGCGGCTAGGGTCTGGAACCAACTTCCAAGGGAGGTGGTGCAGGTTCCTACCCTGTGGGTTTTTAAGAGGAGGTTAGATGAACACCTTGCTGGGGTCGTTTGACCCCAGTACTCTTTCCTGCCATGGCAGGGGGTCAGACTAGATGATCTTCTCAGGTCCCTTCTGACCCTAGAAACTATGAAACTATTGTTACAAGCCAGGTGAAAAAGTACAGGCTGGATGAATGGCCTGCAAGGTGGATAGAAAGCTGGCTGGATTGTTGGTCTCAACAGGTAGTTATCAATGGCTCAATGTCTAGTTGGCAGCCAGTATCAAGTGGAGTGCCCCACGGGTTGGTCCTAGGGCTGGTTTTATTCAATATCTTCATTAATGGTCTGGAAGATGGGATGGGTTGCACTCTCAGCAAGTTTGCAGATGACACCAAGCTGGCAGAGTAGTAGATATGCTGGCAGGTAGGGCTAGGATTCAGAGTGACCTAGACAAATTGGAGGATTGGGCCAAAAGAAATCTCATGAGATTCAACAAGGACAAGTGCAAAGTCCTGCACTTAGGATGGAACAATCGCATGCACCAGTACAGCCTGGGGGCCTACTGGCTAAACAGCAGTTCTGCAGAAGAGGACCTTGGGGTTACAGTGGACAATACGATGGATATAAGTCAGCAGTGTGCCTTTGTTATCAAGAAAGCTAACAACATACTGGGCTGCATTAGTAGAAGCATTACCAGCAGACCAAGTGAAGTGATTATTTCATTCTATTCAGCACTGGTGGGGCCACATCTGGAATAGTGTTCAGTTTTGGGTCCCCCACTACAGAAAGGATGTGGACAAATTGGAGAGAGTCCAGCAGAGGGCAACAAAAATGGTTCAGGGCTGAGGGACATGACTTATGAGGAAAAACTGAGGGAACTGCACTCGTTTAGTCTGCAGAAAATAAGACTGAGGGGGGATTTAACAACAGCCTTCAACTCCCTGAAGTGGGGTCCAAAGAGGATGGAGCTGGACTGTTCTCAGTGGTGGCAGATGAGAGAACAAGGAGCAATGGTCTCAAGTTGCAGCACGTGAAGTTGAGGTTAGATATTAGGAAGAATTTCCTCATTAGGAGGGTAGTAAAATACTAGAACAGGTTACCCAAAGAGGTAGTGAAACCTCTGTTCTTGGAGGTTTTTAAGGGCCAACTTGACAAAGCTTTGACTGGGATGATTTTGTCGGGGATGAACCTACTTCGAGATGACTGCCTAAGGTCCCTGCCAACCCTAATTTTCTGATTCTGGGATCACAAATGCATGTCTGTCTATGGCCTGTGTAGCTAAAAATTATAACAGCTTCATATATTCAGCATAACCCTAAGCAACAGAGGGATAAGCAATACAGCCTGCATGGGACACGCTAGACCAGGGGTGGGCAAAATATGGCCTATGGGCCAGATCTGGCCTGCCAATTGATTGTATCCAGCTGCCTCTGCAGCACTTCACATGGGGCTGAGCCAGCCCACAGTAGCCTGCACCATGCTCCTGCCCACACCTGCTCCATGCCCACCTACAGCACCACCCCGGCCCTGGTCCTGGCCCCGGCTCCAGCCAGCACGCACAGCTTCCTGGTGGGGCTGCCTTCTACCCACTTGACTGTCTGCAAGTGGCTGCTCATTGTGCTGGGCAGGTGGAGAGGATGGAAGGCAGCAAGGAGCTGGAGCCCCATGTGCTGGGGCAGAAGCCACCCGGCTGCAGCTTCCTCCCCACCTTGAGTGGTGCAGCAGGGACAGGAGCCACTGGATGTGGAGGTAGCTGAGCAGTACCCAGGCAGCTGCTGTAAAAGCAGTCCTGCTTTGAAGCTGTGCACACTGGGCAGGGCTGGGACTGAAGCCAGGGTGGTGCCAGCTGTGGGCACAGAGTGGGTTGGGCGGCGGGGGGAGTCCAGCATGGGCTGCTGCAGGCAGAAGTGGGGACCAGCCCCATGTGGAGTGTTGCAGGGGCAGCCACAGACCAGATTGGGGGAGGGAGGGGAGGCTGGACCTCAAATGCACCTGCACTGCACTACCCAGGTGAGCTCTGCTGCACGCACCCCCTGCCCCTCATCCCCCTCCTCCACCCCTAGCCAGCTCCTGGGACCTGGCATGTGGGCAGCCTCCCCCAAACCTGAGCACACACTCCCACACCCCTAGTCCTCTACGCAGACACCCCCACCACACACACCCCTATAAGAAGAGCAACACTTTATTTTGAGCTACTATGCAATCACCTGTATATATACTACTAAAAAAGAAAACATAAATCAGGACAAAAAATATTTTGAAATAAAAATATAAGAAATGTTTTGTTTTTAGTATGATTTGTTTTTATCTATAATTTATCAAGATGATATCTTCTGAAAGATTTTCTGTGTGCAGCCCTCGACAGATCACCAAAACTCATTAAGTGGCCCTCCAACTGAAATAACTGCCCTAGATGCTGTAAGTCAGTCTTTCCTTTTCCAAAGCGGGGCTGGATTTTCTCAGTTAGTTCTGGTTACATCCTTTCAAAACCGGGCTTCCCTCATAAACCAAGGCGGTATCCAGGGAAGCCACCTCAGCATCGTAAGAGCCAGTTGCTTCTTCTGTGGCTACAGGGCAGAGATCCTGTGTGCACCACCTGAGTAGGGAAGGCAAACAGCTTTTAAACAGTTTCATTACATTCAACTTAGCTAAATACATGGAGGTTTTCTCATCTCCAAAAGGGCATCCTATGGGCTTCTGTAAGATACCAGAGGACAGTGGGAGCACGCTGATCTGAAAAGGCAAAGATTTTGCTGCTAGCCAAACAAGAATGACCCTATCACACTTCTAGCTACTACTGAGGTCTGTACCTGTCAAAGTGAAAGCAAAGATTAACTAATAGAAAGGGCTTTCAGGGGCGGGCAATTATTTTGGGCAGAGGGCCACTTACTGAGTTTTGGCAAGCCATCAAGGGCCACATGACAGGCAGCCCAGGGCAGATAAATATTAATTTTCTAAATTTTTTAGGGGCCCTGCAGGCTGGAAAGGATAGCCTGGCAGGCCGCATCCAGAACATAGGCTGAATTTTGCCCACCCCTGGCTTAGATCCTAGTAGTGCAGCAGGGAGCAGAGCCTGCTGATTTGCACCATAAGCAAAATCCTGTGGCAGATGGTGAGACTGAATGCTACAATGAGGAGGAGGGGGTCAGTCTTACCTTGTTCAAAGTCCCTGGCTGTACTGGTGCAAAGTAGTCTGCCTAGCCCACGTGTTGCTACATCACAGACTCCCCATTCTGGTGCCCTCTCTAGGGGGTGCCAAGGGCAGGGCTAAGGCCCCACGCACTCACCCCAAATTATGCTACTGACTGACTCAGAAAAAGTGGCTAAAGCTAACATTTGTTTTTACCTCTGGGCAGTGAAGATGTCTGTGAAAGAGGCGCCAGGTCGGGCTGCATGTTCAAGCAAGAGAGCTCCTGCAAAAAGTATAGGTAAGACAAAAATCCTCCCAGTCTTCCGCTAAGAGGACAAAGTGTAATGAAATGTTCCTGGGGTAACTTGCCTCCCCCCCACAACATCCATCTCAGCAGGTTCAGACCAGAACCTCCCACACACTGAAAAATGGCAGGAAACAAGCCCTTGCTCCACCACCACTGTTAGCAACACCAAGTCCTCCAGTTGAAGCCAGGACTTCCTAAAACTAACTCCCAGTCATTGTGTGGTCTGCAATGGACTGCTTCTGTTATCTTCCCATTACCTGTGTAGATCCTTGCTAGTGTGTAGGCAAAATCTCTTGCTGCCAGCTCCATGCCAGATGGCCCCTTTGAGCCAACTCCCTGAGAGAACTCTTCGAGCTTGCTGATAGCAGACTGCATTCGCTGCACAGCAGACTCCAGGTCTTTAATGTTGGAAGCTAGCTCCACCTTTCCCTGCAAAGAACACTGTTTTAGGAAAAATGACAATAAACTTGTCTCTTGAAAAGACTGCAGCTGCTGAATCCTGAGGAGAGGAAACTCAAACCTCTCTACATCTGGCTGGCACTGTCACAAGAAAACTCCAGCTGTTCCAGCCAACACTGACAGAACGCTATGCAGAGATACTACAGAGGATACTGCTTCAGGGAAACTCAGCATTACTTTAGCAATTGAAGACCAATGTAAGCCAGATGCACCATGCAGTTGTATCATGCTGGCATCCCCTGTAACTACACACCTGCCTCTGGCTTTAATGACAGATCTGATCTGTTCTACTATGTTAAAATGGACCCACTTCCACTAAGGTGTCAGAGCTGCATTCAGAGAGGAGCTTCAACTATTGCTCCTCTTTAAAAAAATCCTTCCCTTGGAATTTATGTATGTGGGGAAGGCCTGTGTAGCCAAGCCTGTTCTCATCTCCCTGAGGAAAGGAGTTACGGGTCTGGCTGTGCTAAAGGGTTCTGCCCATCCCTCTCAGTGGTCACCAACCAGTGGATCTCGATCCACCGGTCAATCTTGGAGCCTCTTGCAGTAGATCTCAGAGCCTCGGGGAGTCGATCTGTGGCTGGGGTGGGGGGCTGAGTGCCAGCATGCATGCATGCGCGTGCCCCAGCCCAGCAGGTCAGTCCATGGGGGAGGAAAGGGGCAGGGGCTAGATGAAGGCTGCTGTGGCGAAGGACAGTGCCGCAGAGGCAAGAGCAGGGGTAAGTTGAGTGGGGCCCCGGCCAGGTGGGACTTATCTGCTGGGAAGGCATGCCCCCAAATAATTTTTTCTCCCTCTACCTCAATCTGCCCCCACTTCCTTCCCACAGACTTACCTGCTGTGTGTGGGGGGAGGGGGAGGGGGAGGCAGTGGCACATGGTAAATCTTGGGTTGCATTTAAATACCAAAGCTGATCTCTTACTTAAAAAGGTTGGAGACCACTGCTCTATCTGATCTAAGCTCCATTTTCATAGTGCCCCAGCTGTATTGTGAAACATACGACTGGCAGGCAACAGGGAGATGCTAATATTGCTCTGAAGTGGCTGCCTATTAATAATACAGTGTGCACATGGCTGCCTAGATGTGTTAGACTTTAATCCAAGTTTCTCATTCAGCAACACATGCTTTCAGAAGGGGCCTTTATTTCAGCATTAGCATGTAGACTGCCATAAATTACATAGATGTCACTATATGGAAGCCTACAGCATAGAATCAATGATACCAAGTCTTCTTGAATCACAGAGCTGACAAACTTGCTGTCTTGGAGTGACAGCCTGGCCCCTGGGAAGTGAATGGGCATTCTGATGCAGACCTTGCTGGAAGCAAGATTTCACCTTGGTTTCAGCTCATGGAGTCAGATGTGCTCAATTCTGCATCCCCACCCTACCAATGCTACCACTAAATCTGCTGTGGCACAGTAAGGCAAAAAGGTCTTTAAGGCAGCACTTGTAGGAGGTTCATTGCATAAATTAATCTCTTAGGGCCTTGCCAGACATTCAAAATAAAATTGGATAGAAACAAGCTATAGAGTTGTTATACATTTTCAAGCACTAACTTGGTAGCTGGTTGGCTCTTCTCATAACTAGACAGTCATTTGTAATGTGTGATATTTACTTTGCACATGTAGCCAGTCTAAATATATTGTATGATTAACCAGTTAATTGCATAATATATGTAATGTGTAGCACGGGCAATATTGGTAGGTTACTTGGGAAGCTGAAGATGAGAAGCAGCTGCTGCAGTTTCCAGGGGATGTTTCTGAAGAGTCTGGTGCTACTAATGACCATGCAATGTGCACTTCCCATTACTACTGGAAAATACAGCCTACTAGCTCAGCAATGCTCAGTCTGTGAGAATTCAACCTCGCTCTGTTTTCCATAATGCTTTCATGCATGACACCCTCCAAACAATTGCCCTGTATTCGGTGACTGTGTTAATACATGAAGAACACAGTGCTTAATGAACACTGTTTCATGCTCCAGGCAAAGCAGTTAACTAACATTCACAGCATTTGCAGCATGAATGCAAAATCATCATCATTACACTGTTTGCATCTGCTGCCAAGATGAATTCCAAAGGAGCCTACAAACCCACAGCATGCTAATAAGATGTTTTGAAAAAACAATGTTAAAAATAACTTGGAGGTTGATGGCAGGTAAAAATACAGGCACAGAGTTGAGCTTAGCTAAAGTTACTTGGGTTTCTCCAAACCCAGTGAATGTATGTGTTGTCTGATGATACCAGAAGGGAAACAGGACTATATGTTATTTTTCCAACAGTCTGTCAATGTCTTACAAATGAAAATATTAGGGCTGACAAATGATTTTAAAAAGCAATCACAATTAACTGCAAGACTAAAAATAGTTGCAATTAATTGCTATTTTAATTGCACAGTTAAACAGTAGTCAACACCCCCCCCACACACCCAACAGCCTGGAGCCTGTGCACCCTGCAGCTCCCTTCCCACCACCACCAACAGTGCACAGTCCCAGCCCCAACCCTGGCCCACCCTGTGCCCGCTCTGGACCAGCCAGAACCTGTGCGAACAGCTCCAACCCTGGCCTGCCCTGCATCTGCTGCAGACTCACCTGTCCATGCTGAGCAGTGGCAGAAGCCAGGCAGAAGCTGTTGCTCAGCATGGAGGAAAAGCAACCTCTCCCCCACACCGCTGCCAGGCCCTTCTTGCTGCAGCCGCCAGAGTCCATGCCCAGGCTGCCCTGCGGCTCGTCTGCACTGCCACCGCTGCCCCACTGGTTGGCCCAGAGGTGGCAGTGATGGCAGGAGAGAGATGCTGCAGGGCAGCCAGGCACAGGCTCTGAATGGCTGCAGTAAGAAGGCCCCAGCAGCAGTGAGAGGGAAGGGCCGCTTTTCCCTGTGGCAAGTAGGGGCTTCTGCCTGGCTGCTGCTGCTGCCTAGTGTGGGCAGGCGTGTTTGGAGCAGGTGCGGGGCAGGCCAGGGTTGGGGCTGTGAGCACAGTTTCTGACTGGTTTGGAGCTGGTCTATTCCGCTGGTCAATATGACGTGTGTGATTAACATGATTAAAAAAATTAATGCATTAATTTGTTTTTGAATGAATTGCATAAGTTAACTGCCATTAAATTGCCAGCCCTAAAAAATATTCTAATTTCCTGCAGATCAAGTGCAACTGACCAGGACAATCAGGATAAAGGTGTTCTACTTCCTCCATGGCAAAGAAGGAAAGGAGAACAAAAACTCAGGCAGCAACTTTGATGATTATCCAAAGCAGAAACCACCAAGCTTTGCTCCCCTGCATATTTATCTACTTTAAGCCCAACAGCCTGAAACTCACCAGAGCTGGGCAGGGACCTTCAAAGGGTTATTTTTACAGTATTTTTTTGTTTTAGTCAAATAGGGAAAGACCTTTAAGAGCCTTTAGTTGGCCTCCTGCTGCAAGCAGTCACTCAAAAGCCACTGCTGCTAGAACTGGATTCATTTCTACCAGCAAAGAATAACGTCCAAGGTTTGGGGCATTTAAAGATAAAAAGTGAACAGGATAAATAGAACTCAAATCACAAATTTCACAGTAATGTCTCAGCCAGATTTGTAGCTTTGCCTTACCAACCTAGACTGGTCCTTTTACAGCATTAAACCATGGGCATAGTTGAGAGAAGTGTCCCTGTATTTGGTATCAACAGGCTTTGATTACAAATAAAATTTACAAGGTCAGTCAGTCAGTGCTGGTACCCAAGAGGAAAGAAAAATTCCTCCAGAGCCCCACTGCACTTTGCAGAGCTAACATATAGGAAGACAATGACAGACAATGATATTAGATGATATCTATGACCTGATCAACTTTGATCTCAACTTGCTAAAAAGATACAGTAATCATGAAACTCCCCGGAGTCATTTTAGAGTTACTTTTCAAGGTAGCCTGGAATTCAAAATACTCTTATAGCTCTGTGACAAGGACACTTCAGGAATATGAATTTACTACATCTACATATTATTCATCTCCCAAAATGGATCCTAAATGGCAGCCTCAGGTATTCACAGCCATGGAATCCACATTCATTCACAATCCACAGGAATCCACATTCATTCCTCCTGCTGTGTATTCTATGAGACCAGCCAGCTAATCATTCACTGGTTAAGTTTTATTTTCCATCCACCTGACTTTCCTCTGTGTGATATACCCTTGAAACTCTCAACTTCTCATAATTATGATTTACACAACAATTGCCAAAGCGCATGCTCTTGCCTCATGGTAACAGCAACTTAAGCAACTATATGAGGAGCAGCCAGACACTGTTGGCTCAGAACTTTTAAACTAGTTATGTTCCTATCTAGTCTTATGCTAGGAGCCATGACCCAAACATGAGAATATGGCTGGGTATTTATGGGTAAACAACTGTTACTGGAAAGAGCTCACCTGCACTGCAGAGAAGAAGGCAACTAATGCCTGTCCTTGGCTCTTGGTAAGGGAGCGCAGGACATCAAGTGAGAGGATATTTGTGGTTCCCTCCCAGATGGTCAGCACCTGTGGAAAGAAAAGGGGGTACAACCAGGAAAGTTGTGTCTAAAGAAAAAGTGGGATTTATTATCAGTGACAAACACTCACCAAATCATGGCTTCCCCACAAAATCCCAGTGTCTGGAAGTGGGAGAGGGAGAAACAGAGAACCAGTAGAAAAGAGCTGGCAGGGCTGAAGTTGTGAAAGGATGCGCAAGTAGAAATGGAATTGCTAAGCCAGAAAGGGCAGATGTTCCATAGGAGAAGCCAGGACTTGCCCCATACGACCTTCTGGGGCAGGGCTAACCTCTGGTGCTAGGGTAACAGAATGCTAAGGGTCAAGTTCAGATGAAAGGAGGGCCATGACTGGCAAGGGGCAAAGAGGCTGGCAGACTGAATGAAAGGAGGGACGATGGAAACAGCCACTGCTCAGAGTAGTGAGGCAGAATCTGAACAGAGTAAACTGGAAAGTGGGGAGGTGGGGGATGGAGAACAATGAGGGTAAATAGACAGTGGGCATCACTAGCCCCACCAACAGCGCCGCTGAGCAGGAGTCAGTCAATTTCTGGTGATGTAAACAAAGATGGTCCCTCCAGGCAGGTCAGAACCAGGCAAGACTGGTTAGGTCTGTCTACACTTGTTATAACACAGGCCCAGGATAGGCCAAGACAGAGAGCACAGCTATGATATCCCCCAGGCTGGGAAGACTGTCTGAGCACATGGAAAGCATGTGGGATATCACAGAGGGAGATCTGGAGAGCCACATCTTACCTGAGCATCTCGAAGTGCGACTGGCAAGCCTGTGTCCTCCATGTAGCCCTGCCCTCCAAAGCACTCCAGCCCTTCAGAAATAACAGCAATAGCCTGCAAATCACAGGGCCCTGTCAGGAATCAGAGCAGCAGACAGGCTACTTTGCCCCCAGCTGGCACTGGTTACCAGAGTGGGCCTGGCTACTTCCAGCTAGCTCCAGTTACCTGCAAAAGTATGGCTCTCTCCTTATAAGCATCAGTGCTCTCAGTGACTAGCCAGCTACCAAATAGGACAGGTCTAGCCCTGGGCTCCTGGCACCTGCCTGTTGGTTCCTAGTTCTTGATTCCTGCCTGCCAACATCTTTGCTCCCGACTTGCTCCAGTCTGCTTTTGACTCCTGATCTTGTCTGCTCCTGATCCTTTGGCTTGTAACCCTCTAGGATCAACCCCTGACTGCCCACATCCCAGTCATTTCAAGACAAGCACAAGTCTGTATGGTTTGGAGTACAAGATCCATATTACATGCTAGGAAAAACTGGTCCTGTAGCTCTCCATGCTAATTGACATATTACAGCCAAGCCAGCGTGGATGGTGATCCTGCTGGGAAAGGGTTAAGTGGATCTTGTTGACTCACAAAGGCATTTGGGAATCACAGTACCCTTCCTCAGGTCTCTAGCAGAAACCCCAAAATCTAGATCTACAGGGTCACATCCCTGATGTCTCTAGCAGAGACCTGAGGAAGCACCTTGAAATACCCAAAAGCTTTTCTAAGTTTATCCCAACCACGTGGTTGGTCCAATAAAATATATCACCTGCAAAAATCCTTCCCTCTCGCATATTTTCTGGACCAGCATGGATACAGCATCACTTCAACACTACCAAAGTGGACACAGGCACCTAAGCATGATTCTAGTCCATCCAATTCAAGATCTGAAATTCCATTAATATGACTGCTTTTGTAATGAACCATTATCTGACCTGCAGGACTGAGTCACAGAAAAGCAGCGAGAAGGAGAAGGACCCTCTCACCTTTTGTATTAACAGCTTTTCAGGGACTCCAGCAGGGTAGGGAAAAAAGAAAAAAAATCACACTCTGGTGCCTAAGTCCACTTACCTGCCTAACAGATGGAATAAAATCTGGTCCATAAAGTTAATTATTTATTTTATTTATTCATATGGAATACAGCAACCGAATAACAAAAAAGCCATAAGCAACCTATAAACAATGGCATTAAGGGATAAGGCATGAGTGACAGTTTTAGATTTGATAACCACTGCAAGGCATCTTCAGTAGCCTGGTGAAGATCTTCAGCGTAACTATTAAAATGATAAATAGGACATTTCTCTGTGATGTGCACTATAGTTTGGATTTTGCCACACACACTCTTTAATAAAATTCTACTCATGCGGTAAGTAGTTACATCTATCTTGTCCAGTATGAAACCCATTCAGTGTTATCCAGCTCCACCTTGGTGAAGCAAAACCAGGAGATGTGGGGTCTGTGATAAGAAATTTATTAATGATGTCAATTGTGTTCCACTGCTGAATCCATTTTTCCTGGATGTCAAAGTTTTCTCCAGTCAGCTCTTTTCTCACACTCCAAAATGGCAGGAGTTAAAGCCCAGTGTTAATGTAGAGTTAATGCCAAAGCCAAACTATAAACCCCCAACCACCTTCTCACTTGCTTACAACTATGAGATACAACTCCTTTGGGGCTCATGCTGCCCTGCTTGGTCTCAGTACAAAGGGAACTGTCTCTTGTTTCAGCAGACTCCCTCTGGCTGTGCTGGAGAAGTGCTCTTTATGAACGGAGTGCTTGTTCTCGCTGTTCTGATCGGACAGGTGGCAAACCCAGCTCACCAAGCACTGACTACAAGATTGGGATTTTGAGTTCTAAGGAACTAACTGTTCCCCCCATCAGAATGGCTTCATCGCTCACAGCACAGAGCAAAGAACTCGGTATGCCCTTGCTGGCAACAGTTCTGTTACTCTGCCAGCCCTGCAGCACTAGGTTGCTGTTAAGTTTGTTCTCTGGACATTGCACTTTGCATCCCCCAGTTAATCATTCTCCTACAGCCCTAAACCAGTGACCACCTGTGCATAGACCTAACCCAGGCTGCTCCAGTGTGGCTACATAGTACCTGTTTCCCAGTGTAGAGCTTGGCAACTGGTGTCAGCAACCGGAGAAGAAGCTGGTCCCGCTCACTTGCCATGCTGGTTTCCTCTAATCCAAGGAGTCTGGCTATCTCCATGAGCAGTAGAAAAGCCCCTCTTCTTTGCACCTGCAAAGCAAGAAGCAGAAAATGCTCACAGGGCTGGCTCATGCATCAACCAGGTCAGACATCAGGACAGAAAAAACTTGAGGGGCTATTCACTACCTAGACTTGGGCACTGAACAGACTTGTGCTATAGCTTTAAAGCCAAATGTTACTCTGCCTAGTCTAACCAACCACACCATGTTACAGGCCATGACTGGAAGAGTACCCAACTGTGGTCTGTTATCACGCAGGGATGTGATGCTGCCAATTCTTTCAGCTCCATCAGATATGAGCCCAGTGATCCCTCTTGGTTTTGGATCCAGTTTTCTGGTGTTCCATGGTGCACCAGTGCTACACAGGACTTGAGACCATGCACCAGTGTGGCTCAGCAGAGATGCCAAAGGACAGCAGGCTCAAACTTGGAACTGCCAAGACCTGTGGGGCTATGGCTGTTACCATATCAAGCAGTTTACTTCCATCGTTGTTCCAGAGGGGCACAGATATAATGAGGGAGGAGTTTTTTTACACTGAAAAACACCATCAGCACAAGGCCAAAGAGCTACAAACTGGCAAAGGGCCAATTCACTCTGTAAACTGGAAGATTTTTAACCAGAAAAGAAGTTTTGGAACATTTTTTTGAACCAAGTAGTCAGGGCATAGAACCTGGCTCACTTTGAGATTGAACTGGTTAAGTCTATGGAAGGGACTGTATGGAATCTCTATCAGATATGGAGTCTGAGAGTCAACAGTGTATGTGTAATGTAGAATCATATGTTTGCAATCCCTATGCTGGCATAAAGGTAGCTTTCTTGGTGTGGTAGGTGCTTCGTAATGCCACACTTCAAGGCTTTTGCTGGTCACCTGTAGAGGACTGGAAAGAACTCTTTCCCCACATGAGCATTTCTGACTTCTGAGGCATCTTTCTCTGAGGCTCTGGGACACTTGCCACAGCTAAGGCAGTACTAGAAACTCAGAGGTTCCTAGCTAGAGCCTTGCTCACACCAATAACCAAGTTTAGAGTCAGGAAGGAATTTCAGCCCTCATCCAGGCTGGCAAGGACGCTATTGGGTTTTGCCTTCCTCTGTAGTATGGCCTTTACTTAGAATCTTGTGAGCATATTAACCATTTCCCTGTTGCTTCAGTGTCCTCATTTCCCCTGCTGTTAACTGTGGCAAGGGATAGGTTATTCTTGCTAGTCCAAATATTATACTTATAACTGTGATGGATGATTTGAAGTGGTGATTTTGGGGATTCCTTCAGTTAACAATCACCTGCACATACAGGAAACTGGACTTGCTGACCCAGGCAGCCCCTTCCTGTCCTGTGTTCCTACATGATTCTCCAAACATGTCAGGAACCATCTGATTGTGTAGGAACCACTCAGGGTGGTGTTCTGTTCCCATCTAATAGCAGCTGGACCACAAGGGGAGTGAGCTAGAGACCTGCCTAACACCCCTGGGTCTTTTAGCTCAGACAGGAGAAGCCTGTGTTTTCATGTGCAATCCCTCCTATATTGCCAAAATAAGGCATCACATCCAGACAGGCACCAGGGATACTCTACCACAGAGCCGGCAAATATTTTGGGTGGAGGGCCACCTACCAAGTTTTGACAAGAAGGAGTGTGTGAAGCAGGCCCTATTTGATTCGGATTTGGCCCAAATCAGGGACAGTGATTCGATTCGTTGATTCAGATCACTGTCCCTGATTCGATTCAGCTGAATCCAAACCTGAAGATTCAATGCGGATTTGTAAAATCAGCAATTTGGACATAGACACAGCTTTAAAAGTTTTTTCTACATACCTTGAGGTAAGAGGTGCAGCTCACGATTGCTGAAATGCTGGGACACACAGAATGTCCCACAGGACTGTGGGGGCACCCTCCACGTGCTTGGCAGCTAACCTGGAAGTGAACTGAAAGTACTTCCAGTTCACTTTCAGGTCCGCTGGGGAGCATGCTGGGGGGGGCCCCCCCAACGCCTCCCCGGCTTGGCAATTGGTCACAGGGAGGAGGCACCAGTCACCAAGCCGGGAGTTCACGCGCGGCGGGGGGGGGAGGCAGTGTGCTCCCCAGTGGACTCGGAAGTGGACTGGAAGTGCTTCTGGTCCTCGTCCATGTCTGCTGCCGAGCGTGCTGGGGAGCCCTGCCTGCTTCTGTGGGACACTCTGTGCGCCTCTGCATCACAGTATTCATGAGATGCCTGCTACCTATGTAGAAAAACATTTAAAGCTGTCTCTATGTCTGAATCGCCAAATCTTTCTGAATCTCTCCGAATTGATTTGGAGGGTTCTGATTTGATTGAGAGAAATTAAAAGGTCCTCTGATTCAATTCAGATTTGGAGATTCAGCCACCGAAATGGGCTGAATTGCTGCCAAATCAAACCAGGGATTGAAGCATTGCACAGCCCTATTGGCAAGTTGTTGAGGTCCACATGGTTAGCCCTGCCTCTTGACAGGTGCCCAGCCCCCTGGTTGCTATCTTGTGACTGGAAGTCCCACCCCCTAACCCCTGAGCTTTGCCATCAGAAGCCCCTCCCTTTGCCCCCAGAAGTACTCCTTTCAGTAAGGGGTTTTGCCATCTCAGAACCAGAAAAATACCAAATTATATTGTAAAAATCAAACATCTGCTATAACATTTTTTAAATTGATTTCAAAAAATATTTTTGGCCTGATTTCCATGTGTTTGTGTAGTGCACATAGAGGTGATTGTATAATAGCACAAAATCAAGTCTTACCCTTGTATAGTGTGTGGGGGGGGGAGGGGGAGGGCATGGGGGGTATATGTTTGTGGGGGGCTGTGGGTGTGTGGGTATGTGGGAGGGTGTGGTTGTATGTGGTGGGGTTTGTGGGCAGGTGGACAGGTGTGTGGGTTTGGGTGTGATGTGAAGGAGCACGTGGGTGTGTATATGGATATGAGGTGTGGGTAGGTATGGGGTTTGTGGGGGGCTGTGTGTGGGGGGAAGGTGGCTGCAGTGTGTGAGGGGGTGTGGGTGCATGTTTATGGTGCAGTGTGTGTGTGGGACACCCTATGAACACCCCCCCCGTCCCTCCCTCCCTGCTCTGTCTCTCTCTCCCCCTCCCTCATTGCAGACACACAGACACACTCATCCCACCTCTTGCTCCTGGCCCCAGGGTACCAGCATGGGCGGTGGCTGGCACAAGGATGACAGCTGAGCGAAAGTGTGGGGCCCGCACTGGTGTCCCAGGGTCAAGGCTGACAGGGCCCAGGGCAGGGTGGTAGGAGTGTGGGGCCAGGCTAGCAAGGGCTCTACAGAGTCAGGCTGGCTCCACCCACTATCTGAATTTCCCTCTCTGGTGGAGGGAGGCAGGAACAGCCCCAGGGTCCCAGGCCAGAAGCCTCTGGCAGAGGCTTCCAGCTGGGAGGGCAGGGGTGGGGTGTGAAGGGGAGAGAAAGGAATTGTGGGGGAGGGGCAGGGCCAGGAGGGCCTTATTGCTGTGGCTGCTTAGTTCTGCTGCCAGCTCCCCCTGGGTCCTACTGCTGCTGGCTCCAGTCATCCTTGACAGGGGCAGCCAGGGGCAGATAAATATTAATTTTCTAAATTTTTTAGAGGCCCCACAAGCCAGATAGAATGTTTTGGTGAACCGGATGTGACCCACAGGCCATATTTTGCCTGTCCCTGCTCTGTCAGGAATAGTTCTCCATGTGCCCACAATTCAAGTCAATCCAGCAGACAAGCTGGGTCCAGGTTCAGAACAGATCCCATTGGAATGCATGTCACATCTTTGACTAAGGTGCCACTGATGTGTGATAGACAGTGCTGGCAGCCCTGTGCCATCAAGATGTCAGGATAAAGCTAATTAAATTGCAGCAGGAACAAAGCTACACGTAGCCATGCCCATTCTAAGTGCAGTGGCAGGCTGCCCCTGTTGATTAACAGTTCAGTGTAGCAAGTGTTTTTTACCATCTGGAATCATTGACAGATCCTGCTCAGAGCACTGAATCCTCACCTCCATCCGGGCCATGGTCTGCATGTGTAGGGGGTGGTCCTTTAAGAACTTCCCGAAAGCAACCCTCTTGCTGGCATAGTCTCTGCCCAGACTGATGATCCTGGACAGAAAAACACAGTCAAGCACTGAGAGTTAAAGGCTGTGGCCTTCACATTCCCACTCGCATCAAACCCTCCCTCCTAACTAGCCCAGAATGCCCCACCCCACAGCAGAAAGCAGGAAGAGATGCCAGTCTGCAGTGCTGTTCACGGTGCCCCACAACTCCATACTTAGACACAATGGCTCCTCATGTACCTGAATTGTCATGTCTCAAACCAAAGTAGTCCAAAAGACAGCCTATGTGCTGCTGTCATCCTCAGAGAATCATCAAGTTGTTTGAGGGAGACCAGGGGATTGAGTTTATCTGCTACAAACTTTTGAGCCTCTGATCCCTGGGGAACTCAGGAATGGTGTTTTTATCCCAAAGTAATTCCCACCTCTAATCACCCTCCTCAGCTGCTACCCTGAGCAACTGGATGCTAGCATCATGTCCATCCCTCTTCCATCCAGGGAGGCCAGCAGATCTCTTGCTCTCACACACTGGCTGTCCCAGCAAGACTACAAGAAATTGCCATCCGAATTCCTCAGAGCAGAGTTCATGTGTCTGAACAGCACCTGACACAGCAGGGCCCCAATCCAAGTGTGATCCCTGGTGTTACAGTAGAAAAACCAGCCAGGGTTTCTCTGGTTCCAGATCACGTTACCAGGTGTCCCGATGAATTCAGGACAGAGGAGTCAGTAGCTGTCAGTGGCAGTACTTCAGAGCCCTCAGCAGATGTGAAGACAAGGAGTTACATCAATCTATACTAGCTTAAGATATGGGTCTGTCTGTGCCTGGGGACCTAGCAATGGGAAAAATATACATTTGGGGACATTATCTGGATAAGTCTCCTCAGATGGAGTGGGAAGAAAGGTGCTGCCAGGTAAGCAACCCCCTTACAATGGCTTCACTGTTTATTCATTAATTTGAAGTCTGTCATGGACCAAGATACAATGTACAGACATGGAGGAAGAAGATGGTGACTTCTACAAGGAGCTTACATTCTATACAGACATGAAAGTTTACATATCAAACAAAACACCTAGGAAGTTTAAAGCCAGACTGTTCTGAGACAAGGTTCCAGAAACAACCTCCTGCCAATTCCCCAGCATTGCTTGGCTCCCATATTCATCCCCACAACAGCACAGTATAGCTCACAGCTACAAAAAGGCCCTTTGTCCTGACTGGGTGCTCCCTCAATTGAGTGGGGATCCATGCTGCCTTCACCTCTTCATGCCAGACACTGAGCCGTTGACATTGTGGATCCTAGTTATGGTCAACATGTTGGCAATGGAGGCCACTCCCCGACCTTCAGCAGAGATCTGAAAGCATTAAGGAATAAAGGCAAGAATAAAACTTCCCTTGAGTCATCTAAGGAGACTCTTGCTTTGTTGGTTGGGTCAATGGGCTGATAAAATAAATTCTTCACTCCATCTCTATCTGCCCTCAGACAACTAAGAGATCTCTTACCTTGAAATCTTTACCTCTTATTTTACCTAAGTGTGTTTGCCTGGTATACAAGTCCATTCCCTTCAAGTAGAAACGAGAAGCAAAATCCATTAGTGTGAGATCTCTCCACTCCTGTCCCTTGCATACCCGGTGTGCCTTGGCTCCATCCAGCAGCAGTTCAGCTGTTGGCACCTGCCTTGTGCCCAGCTTCTCCTTGAGCCTTTGCACCTCAACGCCATTCAGCTTTCCCTCCTTATCTCGGACCTCCATGAAGAACAGGGACAGGCCTCTGGAACCCTAGGGTCATCAAGAAGAAACACAGGAGAGATACTCCTTCTTTGCAGGGAATTCTTAGTTGAGAGAGTAAGGAGGAGGATTTGGTCGTGGTAAAGAGGGAGAGGGGTGCAAACAATTCCCTTGCTCCCTAGGCTCCTCTGTGAAACAGACCTGCTCTACTTCTCCATGAACATCCATGATCCTTGCCAAGGTCAGCGTCATGTCTGCATCAGTGGCAGATGTGAACCATTTAAAGCCATAGAGGCAATATGCGCCATCTGCCTGCTCTTTGGCCACTGTCTCAGTGCCACAACCTGCAAGGGAAGAGCATAAGTTCTTGACTGGATAGGGAACATCTGCATCATTCTGTGCTGATTCATGGCTGAAGCAGAAGCTCTTTAAATTACTCCATGCTGTCAAGATGAAATATGGGTGGGCAAGTAATCCCCCAAGTAAGACATGCAACCAAGAGGATACATTAGAATGTACAAGAGCCCTGCTAGAGTGCTGTGGGTCAGAAATGCAAAGTGATTTACACGAATAGTCACACAATGCTACGAGGGTAATCATGCAGCCAGGCATGGCAGAACAGCATTTGGCTAAGGAACAAGCAATAAGGACTAGGATCAGAAGCCGGGTCTTGTGTATTTCAGTGATGTGCAGTGCCCTCATTCTTGTTGATCAGGGTTGAATTCTAGCGGTGGGCACCAGAGCAGCATTGGTGGAAGCTGAGGCTGTGTGTCAGTGGGCAGGAAGGCTTGGTTTTTGTTGTAGGTAGATTGTCAGAGCTGTCTAGGGGATGTAGATGCTTGGATTGTATTGAGGTTTTCTAAATCTGCTACAGAGGCTTTAAAGCTACCCACAGTATTCTTCATTCTTGCTAACACACCCCATGCTGGTCAGTGGAGAAGCTTTTAATACTGTGACACATACCAACATCAGAGCCTCCTCTGCGTTCAGTCATCCACTGGCCAGAGGTCCAGAATTTCCTTGGGTCACGAGATGTCAGGTGACCAAAGGCTTTTTCTAGAGGCCCAGATATACCCAGAGTCTGTGGGGGCAAAGGAAACACAGAATTTCTGAAAAGAGGAAAAGCACTAGCTACACCTTTCACTGGCAGCATTAGACAGCTGCCTTCAAAAGCTGTGGATTGCTAACTAGGCACCTGACCTTGGGTCAGAAAAAGCAATCCCCAGCCAGGTCAGGAGATCACTGAACAACCCGTATCTGTGTGCCTGGTAAGTACTGCAGAATCTGTGACATGACCCAGCAGGTGCTTGGGCTGGGTTGGCAACAGCACTGTACAGAGATACAGATGCTCATTACAAAGGGACATAGCTTGACTTCAGCACCTCTTGAGATTTGTCCTAAGGCAGCATCATGCGTATCTAATCAAAATTCACTTCATCAGCACTCAGCAAGCTGTGGGAATAACCCCAGAGTATTTGCTCACTGAGCAGCACGTTCAGGCCCAGGTACTCTGGGGAGACTTTGAACCTGATTCCCTCTGCCTTGAACCATGCATAGATAGATACATACATAGGATCATAGGACAGTAGGGTTAGAAATGACCTTGTGACATCATGTAATCCAGCCCCCTACTCAAGGCAGGATCATCCCTGACTAAACCATCCACCCAAGTGTCTGTCCAAACTGTTCTTGAAAATTTCCAAGGATGGAAAGTCCACAACTAATTGAGGTAGCCTGTTCCACATAATCTCCAGCCTAGATTTCATCTGCTGCAACTTGAGGCCATTGCTCCTAGTCCTGTCCCCTACAGCCACAGAAAAAAAGCCCATCTCCATCCTTTATAATTGCCCATCAGGTACTTGAAGATTCAAATTGCCCTTCAGGTATTTGAAGACTCAAATTCAAATCCTTCATCAGTCTTCTCTTCACCACTTTACATAATCCTACTTCTTTCAGCCTTTCCCTATAAGTCATGCTTCCCAGGCCTCTATAAGCGTATTTGTTACCGTGAGCTGGGCTCTTTCAAATCTGTCCACATTCTTCTAGAAGTGTACGGCCCAAACCTAGACAGAGCCTCCAGGCAAGTGCTCCAGTGCTAAATAGCTCAAAAGAATCACTTCCCTTAATTTGCAAGTCACACTCCTGTTACAAATCAGTATACTGTTGGCCTTTTTTTGCAATAAGAGCACATTTTTACCTCATGTTCAGCTTATGGTCTCCTGTAATCCCCCAGCGTCTTCTCTGCAGTACTGCAGTCCGGCCAGTCATTACCCAGTCAGTATTTGTACATGCAATTATTCTGTCCCAAGTGCAGGACTTTGCACTTGCCCTTGTCAAATTTCTTCTGATTGACTGCAGACCATTTCTCCAGTCTCTCCAGGTCATTCTGAATCCTAGACCTTACCTTCTAGAGTGTCTGCAATATGACCTGAGCTGGCATCATTTGCAAATTTGCTAAGTGTGCACTCAGTCCCATCCTCCTCCTTTTTTTTTGTTAGACTTGCCTCCCAGGGCATCTTATCCACTACTTCCCTGAGTTTGCTAAAATCTGCTTTCCTGAAGTCCAGTGTCTGTATCATGATGCACTCTTTCCTACCTCCCCTTAGGCTCTAGTCACTATTACCCAAAGTATTTCCACTTTCACATTCTCAACTGACTCCTCCATCTGTGGCTAGCAAGTTGAGATCTTACTCCCCAGTTGTCCTCTTTACCATCTTGAATAAAAAACCGTCCACAACATACTTCAAGATTTTGTTGGACTGTTTGTGCACTGATGTTTGCCTCCCTGCCGATGTCCTGGTAATTCAAGTCCCCCATGAGAACCAGATGTAATCAGGAAGCTTTTGCCAGTTGTTTAAAGAAGGCTTTGTCCACTAACCTCTTCCTTCCTCCTGGTTTAGTGGCCTTTAGCAGATGCCCACCATGACATCCCCCTTGCTGCTCTCCCCTCTAACCTTTATCCAGAGGCTTTCAACATCAGGCAAAGGAGATATAAAGTACTTGGAGCCAAACTCCCAGCTCAAGGAAATCAATGGAGCTTGGCTAATTTACACCAGCTGAAGATCTAGCCCACTACATTTAGCAATCATTCTGCACAAAAACCTATGCAGAGTGCAAGGAAATGGAAAATTAGGACCTCAGTGCCATGAAGTGCAAACAAGTGGAAGACTATATCCCACATATGTGTATTGCAGAGTAAGGCTGAAGTCCTGCTGAGCTTGGTGCAGTATATAAATGCAGTGATGGATTGTCCTTGACACAGAGCTTGAAATCAATGAAACAGCTAGGGCAGAAGGAAGGGAAATGAACCCCCCAGGTCTTAGAGCAGGTCTGTTGCAAGAACACACTCCAGCTCTTATGCAGCCCAGTGCAGCTTCCTAGCCATGAGCCCATGATGTCTCTGCAATGAATGCAGATATCTGATATGCCATTGCCTCTCCCAGTGCATGACTATCTGTACTCTTACCTCAATAACTTTGGCTGCTCCATCGGTCATGGCCAGTGGGCAGGAGAAAAAGCCAGAAGAGGCTGTGTATAAGTATAACTTCAAGATCTGATACACACGACTACCAGAGAAAAAAAATCAGGTATAAACATGCCTCGCAGAAATTCAGAAGCAGCAAAAAGAAAGCATCTTAACTAGGGAGAGAGGAAGAGGTCACCTCCAGAAAATCTGGGTCTCTAGTCCACAAGAGATTTAGCTCAGACAGGATAAGAACCTGTATCCTGGTCTCAGAGCTTGTCACACCAGGGGCAGGATGGAGCTCAAGCAGCAAAGCTGCTACTGAACAGTAACAATCATGTTCAGTAGTGTAACTTGGGTGGGTGACCACCCCAGATATGGACTTAGAGGAGGTATCAGAATGCGGCCAGGCAGGAAGCATTGGCATTCCTGGCAGGAGCACCCACTGGGTGTTGCTTGCCCCTACTGCAGCTGCCAATTTTTTGCTGCCGAATCTGCCTTTGCTGGTCACTACTGGCAATGAAATTTGGCAGCAACTGCAGTAGGGATGCATGCAAGGGTTGCTTGGTGGCTGCTCTGTTCACTTCCCAGCTGCTAGTCAATACCCCTCCCCCAACCTCAGCAGCATGAGGCTTCTTTGCACCCTACTGCCCCTGGCCCTGGCAGCAACACTTCACAGACCGTCCCCCCACAAGAGACTTAGCCCAAGGGTGTGAACTTTACCAGTTACACTTCTGATCATGATCCCTCCTTCCTGGCTTGTGACTGCAGGTGAAGGGCCATGGTGTTACTCCACCTCTGTGACAGAGCACCCCACTCTGATTCCTGTGCCTCAAGCCAGAGCTGCACCAGGCTCTCTCAGGCCCAAAGGGTTAGCAAGGAGCACTGTGATTATGGCAAACTGGGCAGCTAGCTCTGCCTAATCACTGACTATGAGAGGGATTACAATAAATGGAGATACTGCTATTCCATCTGGGGCAGATATGTGGGGTTGCTTATGCATCATTTTATAACAAGGAGAACAAGAACAAGCACATCCCGCAAGGAAGGCATAATCTGCAAGAAGCACTCAGCACCACACACAGGGTTGGGACCTAGAAGGCATGTATGTGCAGGACTGTGGAATAAAGCTGATGCCCATGTGGTTACCTCCAGTTGGCGTATCTCCGCTCGTAGGCCTCAGCAACTAACCCCTCCTCTGCTGCAATCTCTTTCAACCTCTTCCAGGCTGGGCAGGTGATGATGTGGTCCACACGTTGCCCCCAGGCATTGTACTGCTGCAGTGCAGGGGGGTTCAACTCACACTCGCGCCCCAGAGAGTCGATCTCAGCTACCACACGGGCCCCAAACCTCTCTAGGTCCAGGCTCACCTCCTCTAGCACCTACGACGCAGCACCAGAGAGACCTCAGAACATGTCATGCAGAGTAATGATCACTTTCCCCACTGGTTCCCCTCTAGCCTAGTTCTTCTGTAGTGTCTTCAGTGAGTCAGGACAGCAACCTGTCTTTTACTGTCCGATCATATTGTCACTCAGCTGTCACCCTGCCTCCTCTTTCCCTTATCAAATTACCCATGGCAGCCTCTCCAGGTTTTCCAGCAGAAGGAATTCAGTTGCAAGGAACACACCCCTGTCAGTGATGGGAAGTCTCCAGCTGCACTGCAAATCTTATCCTTGGGATCAGAAGTTCATAATCCATTCACTTCCAAAAAGAGATCTTGTTTGGGCACTAGCCAGGGACCTGGGATGCCTATTTAGACCCTCTGTAAGTTTTCAGAATGTAATGGGACCCCATTTCAAAAATGAAAAAAAAAATAGTGTGGATCCAGGAGCTAGAGCTGCCAGGTATTCCATGCTCCCATGGAGACAGAGCCAGAGCAACTGCAAAGGTTAAGAGAAGGGGTAGGCACCAGGTGTGGACAGCACTAGTGGGGGGACAGGCATGGGGTAGGGGATGGCAAGTGGCAAGGTGGAGCAAAGGGCATGGAGCAAGCTGCCTGCCCTCCAGTTTTTTTTCCTGTCAATCTGCCAATACTTTTCCTGTGGCAGTGGTGGGGGGATGAACTTAAGAGGACCCTCCAATAACTAGATTCTATACATGAAAAATTAAAACAAATTTATAATTTCCCATGTCTAGAATCTAACAACTGGGGGCATTGTTTTAAATTCAGTGTCATCTTGGATTCAGGTAAACATGGTACACCTCATGACTGGACTGTTTAGATTTACGCATTAACACATGCACACACAAAACTAAAGCCACAGGCCCTATTCCTAAGAAACCCTAACCCTAACACTTCATTAACCCTTTTTTCATTTCTACTGGAACATACCTATGTTTCATCAATATTTTTCATCAGAGTATCTATTCAAATAAATATATTCTTAGGGAACACTGGCTACAGCCAACTGTACTTGACCAAGGTTCAACACTGAAGAAGAAAAAGGATTTTTTGTTAAGATGGGGTTTTCACCACAGTAATCACTGTGTCCCAAACATGTCCCAACTACACAGTCTCAGTACCAGGGGGGAGGAGTGTTGCTGTACATGCGTGCATGCACACTTTCATACACACATACGTAAGTCAAACCTTGGAAGGGAGGTGTGCTTTCAAGTAACCCTGAAGAAAAGCATCTTCCAGATATGGATTCCCAATCTTGGGTTGCTCTTGAAAAAAGGTCCCAGTTGCAGTCCTGGAAAAGGGTACCTTCAGCTCCTCTGAGGTATGCTTATCCCAGGCCTCAGTTTGCTCTCTCTGGCCTGCAATTCTCTTGATTCCTCTACAACTCAAAGCCCAGCACCTCTCCTGGAACCAAGGCAGTAAGCAGCCCAGGATCATTGGATGGCCACTGGTGACAGGGCTCCACATAGGTAAGTGACTGATAAATCCGATCCTGCAAAACATGTGAGTTAGTCCAACTGTCTGAGTTCAGAACAGTCTGTATTTCATACGTAATTGAGGACTGTCTGTATTTAACTATTTAAACAATACAGCAGTTCAGACAGCAAGGGTTTTTGGTGGGACTCTTCCTTTTTCAGGGCTGGCTTTCCAGCAGCTGCTGCCCTTTGCACCTGCTCTTGTCAAATTTCTGAGTATCTGGAAGAAAAGTCAACAGGAAGGGAACAGAAAACGGCACTGCACTGCAAAGAGTACATGTTGGAAGAATTAAGGCAGTGGTACTCAACCTTTTTAAACTCAAGGCATGCATCCAAAACTATAATATAAACATTATGATTCTATTATTCATTAATTTGTTAGTAACTGATTTGATCATTATATATTATATTCAACCCACTGCCATTGCCACTGCAGCTAGCTAGAATTGTACTGTGTGCCTCCTTGCCAAGCCAGATTGGAAAGCGGCTGTGGCAGGAGCACCCACTCTTGCTGCAGATCTTCAAGGTTTGGCTCTGATGTGCTTCCTGAAGCCAGAGGTGGGTGAAGCAGTTCTACCTGCTGGCAGCAGCAGCCTGGAGATAACTTCAGTAATGGAATAAAAAATAAATAAATATTATGTTGGCAACAGGTCTTTCTGCTGCAGCTGCCTCTCAGTTTGGCTCCATTATGCCTCCTGCAAACAAAAGTGTGGGGGGAAATTTCACCACACAACAGTAGCAGTTGGCAGCAGCAGCAATGCCCATATTGTGGCATTCCTGGCAGGGTCTTGCAGCATCCTAGTTCAAAACCACTTATTTAAGCTTTCAGTTTAAGATGTAAGAATCTTAGCCATCAGATCACCAGTACTGGGCAGCTTATTTATGAATCTGCTGGATCTGAAGAAGAGCTCAAGAACGTGGTGAACAGTATGCGATACAACATTTCAAAGTAAAGACAAATACAGAGCAAAAGGAGGGGAAAAATGAATCACAGAATTATAGAATCATAGAAAATTAGGGTTGGAAGGGACCCCAGGAGGTCACTTAGTCCAACCTCCTGCCCAAAGCAGGACCATCCTCAACTAAATCATCCCAGCCAAAGCTTTGTCTAGCCAGGTCTTGAAAACCTCCAAGGATGGAGATTCTACCACCTCTCTGGGTAACCTGTACCAGTGTTTTACTACCCTCCTAGTAAAAAAAATTCTTCCCAATATCTAACCTAAACTTCTCTTCCTGCAACTTGAAACCGTTGCTCCTTGTTCTGTCATCTGCCACCATCTAGCTCCATCCTCTTTCAAGCCCTCCGTTAAGGTAATTGAAAGCTACTATTAAATCCCCTCTCAGACTTCTCTACTCTACTCAGTAGATGGGAGCTGATCTTGCCTGTGAAAACTGAGGGGAAAAAGGCATTGAGCACATCAGCCTTTTCTGCATCCTGTCTCCTCATCACAGTCACTCATGTACTTTTGGAAGCAGGGAAGAACTGCTCCAACTAGGATCTTCAATAAATAAATCACAAGCTATAAGAGGATGTATCACCTTCCCGATCCAGAGCCCTGGGACATGACGCTAGGTCATAGGGCAGCTCACTGTTACAAAGTGCCTAGACCATGGGTGCTCAGCCTCTGGCCCACAGACCTGCTCTGGCCCAGGGGGCTCCTCACAGGTCTGGAAATTTGGTCATGGGAGAGTGGGGGCACCACTCTGCTGTCAAATCTCTGGACCCATGAGGCGCTCCAGGCCCTGCATGCTGGATCTGCTAGATTCAGCACCTAATCCCATCGCAAAGGCCAGGCAGGGACAGCGCCAGGCCCCAGGGCCTAATCTTGCTATGGGGGGTGGGGAAGAGGTGGTGCTGGAACCCAGGACTCAATCCTGGTGCACTGGTGGGAAGGAGGGGGTGGTGGCCGCCCAGGACACAGCCCCAGTGCACAGGGTAGGGAGGGGCTGATGCCAGGTCCCAGGGCCTGATCTGGCCCTCAGATGGGTGGATCCCACCCACAGATAAGCACTACACCACTCATGTGGCCCAGGGGGCCAAAACTCATACACAATCAGCTCCTTCTGTCCAAAAGGATAAAATGCCTTAATACCAGAGTGGCGGTGGGACTGGAGTGTTGCTGTAGTTGTGATGCTCCAGGACAGATGCGAAAAGCAAAGCTTGTCTAATATCTCTGCACTGCTTGTCTAATATCTTTTTAGCTGGTTTAATATCTCTGCGCTGCACAGAGGTCCAATAAAAGATATTACCAAAAAAACCCCTTGTTCCTTAATACTACAAGGCAGTCTCTTGGGGGCGGGGTGTGGGCCGAACTTTTTTTATTTAGCCTCAGCCCAGACAAGAAGTGTTTCTAAAGAGTTTCAACAAAATTGTTTAAAACCAGTTGGTTGCACATGAAAGTAAAATACAGGTGCATTTAAAATTTATAGAAAAAAGGTGTCTGGCCAAGGAAGCGGGGGGCTCCTGCCATAAGACAGAAAATTAATTTGAAAAAAAAGCCCATGAGCCATAAAAGCCTCTTTCTCCTCCAAAAAGCCAATTCTCCTCAAAAGCTAATCCACTTCCCTTTTGCAACATGCCCTGAAGGGGAACAGACCTGGGCTAGCAGCAAAGGAGTGTGCGCACACACAAACACATACATGCGGCCCTACACAATCTCATTTCAAACCCTCAGCTCAAAGCCAGCTTTGACTTGCAACCTGCACTATCTAGATAGGTGTCCACACATGCCCTGGAGAGGGGTCACCTATCCAGGTGCTGTGCTTTTGTGTGTCCACACGTGCCCTGGACAGGCGGTCAGGGTCACCTCTCCAGAGTGTAAGAGCGAGACTAATCCAGAGAAAGAGAGAGAGAGTGAGTGTGTGTGTGGGGGGCCGGGGGGGGGGGGAGGGGTGCACACACGCACACCCAGGCCCGCTGCCGTGACAAGGCGGCGGCGGAGGCAGACCCATCCCCAGACCCATCCCCCTGGTTGCGCCCGGCCCGAGGCAGGCGGGGGCCGAAGCTACCTCAGGCGCAGGGCAGCTCCGCGCGGCCCCATGGCGGTACAGCGCTCGGCAGCGGCCTACACGGCCGACGCAAAGCGGCAGCAGCTGTCGCTGGGGCGCTCCGCG